ATATATATATATATATACTGAACAAAATTATAAACACAACACTTTTGTTTTTGCCCCCATTTTTCATGAGCTGAACTCAAAGATCTAAGACGTTTTCTATGTCCACAAAAGGCCTATTTCTCTCAAATATTGTTCACAAATCTGTCTAAAGCTGTGTTAGTGAGCACACACAGCACACACTAACAGCACCCTTACACAAGCACAGCACACACACACACATACAGCACCCATACACTACCAGCTGTCAGGATTACTGTTTGATCCAGCACGTAGAACTGTACAGCACGGATGACAAATAAGTAACGTATTACCGGTCCTTAGAATGGCCGGATTTAACGTACAAAGAATAGTCAAAAATACTAGCCGAGGTCAGGGAACACAGAAAGGGACACAGCGATGAGGAAAGCCAGGAGTCAGGATACCAGAATATAGAGAAGTCAATAAACAAAGCCAAAGTAAAAAACCAGGTAGAAAACTATAAACAGGAACGCGCTCTCGGACAACCACAAGGGAAACCACGACAGGGCACTGAGCAGGCTGAGAACTGGGCCTAAATACCCCTCCTTTAGTTCTGATAGGCTGTAACCGGCCTTTGACCCCAAAGTCAGTTACCAGGTTTCATTTGCATAATTGCTGCTCAGCATTAACCCTTCTGTGGATTAGGTTGCTGCTTGGCACAACTTTTCCTGTGTGGACAGTAAATGTCATTAATCACTTTTCTCTAAGCGGATGAATACATGACACCAGGTTTCATTTGCACAATTACTGCTCAGCATTAACCCTTCTGTGGATTAGGTTGCTGATCGGCACAACTTTTCGTGTGTGGACAGTAAATGTCATTAACCACATTTCTATAAGCGGATGAATATGTGACAGTGTGCATGTTAATGAATACAGCCTGTAGTTTGTGTGTACAAGGTAGTGTGTGTTTGTATTGGGGCTTCAGTGTGTGCATGTACTGGGGCAGTAGTGTGTTTCTAGAGGCTGCAGAGAGTGCTTGTGTGTTATGAGGATGTAGTGGATGTATTTGTATATGGGATGTAATGTGTGTCCAGATAGTGTGGGCATCTAGTGGCTGTAGTGATCCTGTATTTGTTGCTGTAGTGTGCATGTACATAAGGGCTTTAGTGTGCACAAACATGTATCTTTTATTTGTATGTAAAGTGGACTTTAGTGTGTATGTACAGGGGTTGTTTTGTGTGCGTATGTATAGGAGGCCTTATCGTATATGTACAAGGGCTGTTCTGTGTATAGGGGTATTTCATGTGTTTGTACAAGAGGCTTTAGTGTGTATGTACAAGAGCTGTTTTGTGTGTGTGGATATAGGGACCTTTAGTTTGTATGTACAGGGACTGGGGTGTTTGTGTGTGTGTGTGTGTGTGTGTATGTAGGGGACTTTTGTGTGGATGTATAGGGGCTGGTCTGTATGTATGTATAGGTGGCTTTAGTTTGTATGTACATGGGCTGGTGTGTGTGTGTGTGTGTGTATGTGTAGGGGGCTTTAGTTTGTATGTACATGGGCTGGTGTGTTTGTGTGTGTGTGTGTGTGTGTATTTATAGGGGGCTTTAGTGTGCATATATAGGGACATGTGTGTGTGTGCATACGTATAGGGGGCTTTAGTTTGTATGTACAGGGACTGGGGTATTTGTGTGTGTGTATAAGGGACTTTAGTGTGTATGTACAATGGCTGGTCTGTATGTATGTATAGGGGGCTTTAGTTTGTATGTGCATGGGCTGGTGTGTGTGTGTATGTACAAGGGGCTTTGGTTTGTATGTACACGGGCTGGTGTGTTTGTGTGTGTGTGTGTTTATTTATAGGGGGCTTTAGTGTACATGTACAGGGACATGTGTGTGTGTGTATATGTATAGGGGGCTTTAGTTTGTGTACAGCTTGTATTGTTTAGAGAAATGGAGCTTTAGGGTTCTGGGTTGGAATATTAAATATATGTACAATTCATAATAATAATAATAATAATAATAATAATAATAATAATATATACCCATACATAAATTATGTATTATGCAAAATTAAATAAAACTTTAAAAAAACAAAAAAAAAACATTTGTTCCCCCCTAACTTCTGTTACCTTTGGCCAAGAGAGGGGGATATCCTGGTGGTCTAGTGGGCTGAGTAGGCACTCTGGCTGCTGCTTCTTAGGAGCTCCGGCGTTACTGAGAGCGTTGCCATGGTAACCCACGGCAATGCTCTCAGTAACTGAAGCTCGTGGGAGCAGAGCACATGGCCAGCCCCCAGCAGGAGATGAGATCAGCATCTCCCTGCGCCACTTTGCCTGTCTTTGCAATGGGACGGTGAGCGACATCTCTAATCTCCTCACCGGCCCATCAAGGGACTTTGTTGCATGTTTGGGCTGTGCTCACTGAGCATCAGCAATGCATGGACCGGTCGGGAAGATCATTTGATTTCCCTGGTCAACCTCTGCCCTTGGCCATCGCGGCCCACCGAGCTTTTGCCCGGTTTGCCCGATGGCCAATCCAGACCTGTATATATTTATATATATATAGAAAATATATATATATATATATATATATAAACATACAAACCTATTTTCTACAAGGGGCAGAGGGTCACCATGACATTGCATGCTTGATTTTATTTTATTTACCTATTTATTTAATTTCTGACACTCGCTAGTGAGTATCTCCCAGTAATATTACTACAATAAAGAACCATGGACAGAGGCTTCAATGAACGATCTGCAACGTGGAAATGGCAGATAGTTTGACTCTCATCAGTTTGTTTTCCTATTTTTTAACATCCAGTACTGTCTATTCTCAAATCTAAACCTGAACTTGGTGCCTGCTGCTCTAAATGTCAGCTTTGCTTATTTTTACTTTTTACAAATACTTTGTGCATGCTGAAGCAAAGCGTTCTTCTAGAGTGAGAATGCCAGCACATACTGCACCAAAATGAATCTATAAATAGAACAATGAGCATCTGGATTTGTACTTTGATGGTTTAGAACTTACAACTGTTTGTGGAAGCTCCAAAGTATAAAGCAAATAGTATGGGGCACATTGGTAAATAACTGAAGAGCATTAATAATGCCTATTAACATTACTATCACATATACTTACAATTCAGCCAGCTGTATTTGAAATGTATTCCATTTATCCCGTATAATAAAGGTTTTGGCAAAGATGCTTCTGTCTGAAAAGGTTAGGCTCTGCTTGTGGCAAATCTAGTTTTTCTAGAATCTTTGCAATCTGTCAAAAACTACAAAGCTTACACATGTACAAGATTTGAAACAAAATCCACTATAATAAACATTGCGTAGGTACCCCTCAAGCATGTATTTTTCCCAAGGCCTGCAGTAAGGATTCCCATACATCTCTCTGACCGACCTCAATCTCAGAAGAGTAGGGTGAAATGGGTATAGGTACCCTAAAGCACATCTAGCAGTAAAAAGAGGATGTGGAAATACAGCTAAAGTATCTTATTGTACTATTGAGTACAGATTCATTTGCAGTCATATCACATCCACCAGTATGATTGTTTAGAGATTGTTTCTCATGCATTGATCTTTCAATTAGAATTACAATTTCTTTCTAGGTAAAACTCAGAAACTCTTAAAGCTAATCACATTGAGTTTAACCATTGTGTTGGATTGAATTTACAACATACAGCCGAACGCATGATCAGGATGCAACAAGTGAAAGTAGCTTTACTCCACTTCTCAAAATGTCTGACAGATAACTACCATTCACACATGTTACATTAGTAGAAAATGGCCAGCGTGCCTTTGAATTCATTCCAGCAATATTTTATATTCTCTGTTTATTGCAGTTTTCATATGAAACGTATGTTTACGCTAGAAAAGTTTGAGGAATATATTTAATTCAAATATAAACAATCTTGTATCACCAAAATAAAAGCAATGTGAGAAACTTATCCAGAGCAAGTCTTGCACATCTTTCTTTTACTTAACTAGGTGTCTTTATTTTGTTCTCAAGAATTTCTAGAGAAAACTGAGCACTACATTTTGGTAGTTAACAAATTGTATTCATTTGCACATGAATACATCAAAATCAGAGAAGCAGCATTTTGGTACAGTAGTGCCTTATTCTGGTATAGTTCATAAAGATAAGTGAGGAAACATTAACAGAATGCCCATTAAATGTCCAAACTCTCAAAATGGAGGAATGCCCCTACATTATAATGCCCCTACATAACAATAGTAATATAGCTGGTATTGGGACCGGGAAAATGGATCCCATCTTCCTCTAACCATTGGGCTAGGATATTTGAAAGCCAGAGGATGGATAAAATTTAGGAACATTTGTCAGAGAGTATACATTAATATCTCTCTACTCAATCAGTGAAGGGAAGTGGCAAAACATCTAACACCTACCTATACATTGTTTGCTTTTACATTTGCATTGAAAGAAGAGGTGGTCAATTCAGTGAGCCAAACTCGGAAAGCACCTTGTGTTAGTTCCGTGTTTGGTCTAGCGCAGGGGTTCTCAACCCAGTCCTCAGGACCCCCTACCAGTCCAGGATTTGGGGATTACCTGGGTGTGTCTCAGGTGTTTAGAAAAAGGGAAAAAAACACCTTAGATTCTAAGGTGTTTTTTTTTTCTTTTTCTAAACACCTTAGACACATCCAGGTAATCCCTAAACCCTGGACTGGTAGGGGGTCCTGAGGACTAACGTTGAGAACCCCTGGTCTAGTGGATCTGATTAGATAAGGGATGGGTTGCCTATATCTGGTGCATCTGTACTGTTAGCCACATAGGCTTGTGAGGTTTCTACAGTCTGGATTTTTTTTTTTGGTCTTTGGGGAGGGGCATGGCAGTGGTCTGGAGTAAAAGGTACTGGTGGTACCTTAGGAACGCCTTAGTAATGTCATAATGCTTCTTGTACTCCCCTCATAATGGGTGGGTACGCCCCTGGAGGGTGCCTGTGGAGCACGTAAGGGAAAGAAAAGAAGAGGAAAAGGAAGGGAGCAAATAGTAGTCGGAGGATAGAGGAGAGGTAGGCATGGGAGAGGGTGGGGTTAAGAGCACCCTGACCAAACACGATGCTTTCCCCCTATTCAGGCCCCTGCCACCCAGCCCCACACCCCCCAGCATATGCAAACCAGGGCCACCAACGGTCCGTGTGTTTCATGTCGAGCCCTGTCAGGTATGCCTTCTTTGGGGAGATCTGTGGGGTCCTGTGAGCAACATCCCATATTTTCAATGTGTTTGCCGCCGGGACTGTCTGATGTTGTCTATCCAGGTGTATCTGTTTGGTGTTCCACATCAATGCGTGAAGGGGGTATCCTATGCTATCTTTATCCAGCGCTATCCAGAGTTTTTGTTTTGGGTGGGAATGCCATTCTAGTGCCCTTTGGAGGACCGCTACCTGATGGTATCTGCGGAAGTCCGGGAGAGCTAACCCACCACGTTGTCTCGGGAGGCACATGAGATCGTGTCTGATACGTGGTGTTTTGTTGTGCCATAGGTATCGTATGATCATCGAACATAGGGATGCAAAATATGACATAGGTAGTGCCAGTGGGATCATCTGAAATAGATACAGGAGCCGTGGTAGAATGTTCATTTTGAAGACCGCTATGCGGCAGAGCCAAGAGATGTGTGGGTAACTCCACTTCATGAGATCTTGTTTTATTTTGTGTAGAGGTTGTAGGAAATTCTTCTGGTAGAGGTCCAGGTGGTCAGCCGTTATAAAAATTCCTAGGTATTGCATGTGTGAGGGGCACCAATGGAAGGGAAGCCGGGGTTTTCAGTCTCTGTGGTGGACAGGGAGACGCCAATTACCTTGCATTTGGAGAGGTTAAGCCAATGATCCATACGTGTCTATCAGTTTAAGTAAGTTCAGCGAGGTTGAGCTCGGGTTGGTGACGAAAAACATCAGGTCATCAGCATATGCCGCCACTTTGTGAGTCTTGCCATGCCAATGGAAGCCCTCAATATTTCCGTTGCGTCTCACTACCTCCAGTAGAGGCTCCAGAGATAATGCGAATAGGAGCTGCTTAAGTGGGCAGCCCTGACGGGTGCCATTAAATATTGCAAAGCTATCCATCAAGGCTCCATTTGTCAGGATTACAGTTGATCCAGCACGCAGAATAGTATCACACCTAGGACAAAGGATAACATCTAACTGGACCTTAGAATGGCCGGACTTAACGTACCAGAGAATAGTTAAAATACTAGCCGAGGTCAGGGACACAGAACGAGACACAGCGATAAGGAAAAGTCAATAGTCAAGGATACCAGAAGTCAGGGAAGTCAAAGTAAAAAACCAGAAACATGCGATCAGGAACACACTCTCGGATAACGATCTAAGGAAACCACGACAGGGCAATGAGCTTAAGGAATAAGTGAGTTTAAATAACCCTCTTGCAGATCTGATTGGCCGTACCTAGCCTTTGACCCCAAAACGTTTGTGTATTTCTTTTGCGTGACGTCACCGTAACATTAACATTGTCTTTTCCATGGATGGATATGGGGCTATATAATATATATATGGGCCTGCAGCATCCGGTGTCCACCAACATGTCGTAAAAGCCATGCATCGTGGCAGAGGACCGCCGAGTGGCATTCCCCTTAATCTTAGAAAGATAATTATCTCCGTGTTTGTCACATGGAGACGAAGGATACGTGACACGATTGACCCATACTCGCACATTCAGTGAGTCATACAAGGCACCTAACCAGTCTATCCACTTGGCCCCAAAGCCGTAGTGCATGCATGAGGAAGTGCCAGTCCACCCGGTCAAACTCTTTCTCCACATCTGTGGAGAGGAGAAGCAAGGGCACCCCGGTTCTGCACGCGAGGTGTTGGATGGAGAGCACCCGCAGCATGCTGCCTCGCACCTCCCTGTCCGGGATAAACCTCATTTGATCCATGTGAACTAGGTCAGGGAGCCTTGAGCCCAGCCAAACCGTGAGAACCTTTGCTAGGAGTTTGATGTTGACATGGAGTAGCGAAATTGGCTTATAACTTCCACAGGATTCCGGGTCCTTTCCTGGTTTGGGCAACATGGTAATGGTAGCCAAGAGGGACTCCCTGTGAAACCGGCACCCAGAGATTAATTTATTAAGAGCCTTAGTGAGTTTTGTAGTAATCCAGTGTCAAACCATCTGGTCCTGGAACGCAACCTTTCTTAGAGGCCTTGATTTCCCTTTGAAGTTTGTCTTCTGTTATCAGGGATTTGAGCACAGCGACATCGTCTGCATGGAGTGCGGAAGTGACAACACTTGCCAGGAAGCGTTCCCGACCCTCTTCCGTTCCCAACCACCATCAGAGTCGTACCCTTCTGGTCAGGTTGTTATAGAGGGAGCAATAAAAGGTGCGAAATACCGCCGCAATTTCCTCTGGGATTTGAGTAGCCTGACGTGAGGCAGTTTTAATCCTGAACCATCTGCACTGGGCTATGATCGGACCAGGTGGATGTGCCGATACAGGCGGATTGAAGATGGGACAGGTGTTCCTGCTGCAGAACAGCATGTCAATTCTAGAGTACCTAGAGTGAGTCACCGAGAAATGAGTGTAATCCTTGCCCACAGGATGTTTAGTTCTCCAACAGTCGATGAAACGGAGTGCCTGTAGGGACTTAAGAATGCCACGAATAGCACTCTGAGGTATACTACTGTATGCTATGAAAGAATCCACCGTAAGGTTAAGTGGCACATTAAAGTCCCCTCCCAGCACTAGCGTGCCTTCCATGAAGGTGGATAGCTTGGTCAGGGTTTTGCAGACGAATTGGGACTGGTTGCGATTCGGGGCGTATATGGTCACGAGGGTATATTGGCGGCCTTTTATGTCACACTTAATGAACAGATACCTGCCCTTGAGATCCTTTTCAGTACCCCCTCAGTAAATTGTAGCTTCGCTGCTATGACTATAGCAACTCTGGCCTTATGAGCCGTTGGGTGATTGCAGAAATAGTTTAATGGGTAATGTTTGTTGTGCAAAGGTGGGGGTGCTGTTGCTACGAAATGGGTCTCTTGGAGGAAGGCAAAGGATGTGCACTTCTTATGGAGATCGCGCAGAAGGTACGATCTACGTTCGGGGATGTTTCGTCCTCTACAGTTCTAAGTAGTGACTGTGAGCGTGTCAGACCTGTACATCATGATGGACGGTTTTCATGGTTCTGTAAATAGGGACTTGGGGTGTAGGGAGGGGAGGGAATGTGTCGGCAGCAACTGGCAGCGACAACGGGCAGGCACAACGCCACTCAGGGGCATGCGTCTTGTTAGTCCTATTAGTAATGGAGCCATTTGATCTTTAGTGGATAACCTTGCATTAAGTACATTTTCTTGTCATTTTGTTTAATCTGAGTCCTATATCATGAAACAATCACATGGACAAAATGTTTCCAAACCGAAAAAGCCACAAGGACAAAAATCAGTTTCTCCGAACCTAAAATAAAGTCTAGTTCTTTCTAATTACCTGCATTTGACAATAAAGCATTAAGATAGAGCATTACAAATCTTCTATCCCATTAATATGGCACAATATTATGGAGCAAATAGATTATCAATATAGGATGGAATCAAATCCTTTTTTCGGTACTAGAGATGTGGCCAAATTATGGTTACCCTGGACAAACAGACAGAATTCATGATTATACATTGTGGTCCCCCCCTTATCGAGTCTCAGAGGATGTAATTATTTGTATTATAATTATTTATATTTTTATATTTATTTATCTAAAAAAAAAAAAAAAATTTTTTTTTTTTTTTTTATGTTTATCAATGCGATATTTATATCATGGAAAATGTTGGTGCTAACTCTTTTTGATAGCGACTGGCAATGGATAAGTGTAGTGTGATTGAATCACACATTGGGTGTATGATGGTTTTCAATGGATACACCGTACTATATGTGTAATCATCCGGTGTTTAATATTACACAGTGCCTATATTACAATATATTGCCAACCTACCTATGCTTTTAGCAGTTACATTGATTTTTTATTGTTTTTTTTTTTTTTCAGTTTGTTTGTCTAATTTTTTGCTGTGTTTTCTTTAACATTTATTTTTGTATTTGGTTGTCTTAATGTGCTGGAGGATTGCCTTTGGGGTACCCCATATGCAAATGTTAAAAATTTCATATAATAAAAATAAAGAAATATAAAAAAAAAGAAAAAAAAAAAAGATAGAGCATTACAACATTATTTCTTTAACAATATTAAAACCCAATTATTTATAGGATTGTAAAAATGCTCACACCTTGATTATTACACTTTCAGTATCGTGCAACCAACTAGAAAGTGTAAGAAGGAATGTATCAAACTATGCCATATGACATTGTCTACACTTTTGGATAAGATATATTCCCTTAGTTTATAAA